CACACACACACACACACACACACACACACACACACGCACACGCACACGCACACGCACACGCACACGCACGTGTGCGCACACACACACACACAAGTAAACAAACAAATAAATAAAAATAATAAATCAATACATCTTTAAAGTAGGGTTGGTGAAGTTGCCTGTTTACTAGGGTACCACAAGCATCCACATAGTCAACGTGCATTTGTGAAACTAGTTCCTGGGATAGGGGTACAGCCTCACAGGACCTGTTCAGGGAAGTCCTTTTGCATCTCTTGATCATCCTGCCCACTTCCAACTCATGAGGACCACTGACTGGTGTCCCCTTGCTCCTCCTAGGCCACCTGCCTCTATTATTATTTGTGGGTTGTGTGTGTCCTGCTAGAGATAGAATCCCCTGATACATGCTAAGCCCACTGAGGTGCATTCCAGCCCCTCTTCATGTGGCCTGTCTCCTTCCCACTCCCTCTGGCTCACCCAGCAGACCAGGGGCCCCTGAACTTTCTAGAATCTTCCTGCTCCTGTCTTTAGTAACCATCTTTCATGGCTGCCATTTGGTGACATTTATGTTTTGCTCATTGTCTTCTTCTCCCCTTCATGAGGCCTTCTTCCTCCTGTTTCCAGGTGGGATTTGTGTGAGCAGGTGTGACTGAATGTGGTGGTGTGAATGAGAATGGCCCTCAAAGACTCATATATTCGAATGCCTGGTCACCGGGGAGCAAAACTGTTGGAAAGGATTACAAGAGTTAGGAGGTGTGGCCTTGTTGGAGGAAATGTGTTCCTAGGGGTTGCCTTTGAGGTTTCAAAAGCCCATGCCAGGCCCCAGTCTCTCTCCGTCGGCTGCCTAAGGATCAGGATGCAGCTCTCAGCTAGTTCTCCAGCGCCATGCCCACCTTCCTGCTGTCACGCTCCCTGCCATGACAATAATGGACTAACCATCTAAAACTGTAAGCCAGCCCCTAATTAAATGCTTTCCTTTGTAAGAGTTGCCTTGGTCATTGCTTCTCTTCATAGCAATAGAACAATGATTAAGACACTGAATGAGTACTGAGCTCCCTTTGGGGCCCATGATGAGGAGGCTGCCATGTGAACCAGGGTTTTGCCCTTCTGGGCACCAAAGTGGTGCCAAGGGAGCCCCGTTTGGAGGCAAAGTCCTCTGGAGGGCTAGGCCAGGTTGGGCAGAGGCAGGTGAGTGGGTGGGCTCTCTGTGACCCATCACTTGCCTCAGAAGTCCCCAGGGCTAACAGATCCATACACAGCTACAGTTGTGTGACCAGAGGCAGGTGATCCCCTCCCCTCTCCTGGATGGGCACCTTGCCCTTTACTCACCCAGGGAGAAAATCTCCCACAGCAGTACACCAAAGGACCACACATCACTCTGCGTGGTGTACACCTTATCAAAGATGCTCTCGGGGGCCATCCATTTCAGAGGCAGTCGAGCCTGAGTGGCAGAAAGAGATATGTCCCGTGGTGAAGGAGACAGGGCTAAGACTAGACACCAGGATACCCACAATCCCAAGTTCCTTCTGTGAGGACTGAAAGTGCCTTCTCCACAGTTGTCCTGGGTGCCCAGATCTCCCTTTCCACCCTCCTCTCCATCTCCTCCCCTGTCTCCCCTCCTTCTCTCTCCCTCTTCCTCCCTCTCCCTCCCTTCTTCTACCTCTGTCTCCCCCTCACTTCCTTTTTTGTCTTTCTCCTCTCTTCCCAACAGCTGTCCTTTGTCTCCAGATACCTTCTTCTTTCTCTCTCTCCTCCCCATCCTCTTTTCTTTTTTCTCTCTCTGTCCCCTCTTTTCTCCTGTCTCTCTCCTCTCTTCTCCTGTCTCTCTCTCCCCTTTACCTTTCTTCTCCTCTCCTTCTCCCTGTCCCCCCTCTTTCTTGTGTACCCCAGGCTGGCCTTGAACTTGTGATCCTCCTATCTCATCCTCTTTAGCTCAGGCACGCATCCCCACAGCCTGCTCCTGAGGGTGGATCTTATATCTGCTCCTCCAAGTGCAGAGACTTAACTCAGCCTCCTGAGGTAATGTAGCCCTGGATACCACCAGTATCTCCTCTTGACCAACACTCATCAGCTCACTTTGTCCCCATGCTGGAAGCAGAGTTCTCATTCCCTCTCCCTCCCTCAAGCTTTCAATGATGCTTCCCCATCATCTGTCTCCCCCCATCTTATGGCCTCATCTGGGATCCCTTCCAGACTGGCAGGCCATTTTCCTGACAGCTTATGGGGGGAGGGGCAGAAGTGCACACCTGCTACCCACCTGCATTTGCTTCCCACACCTGTGAGTTAGCATAAAGGACAAAATCCTTCTGTGGTGTTTCCACTCCGGGTAGGGTGGCCATCACATCACACCCCAGACTCACCCTGATCATTTCCCCTCTCCAGCCATCTTCCTTTCTCTCCCTGGCATAATCCCTTACTCAGCTATGGTCACTCATCCAAAAACACCCTTCTCTGAGCTCTGCCAGCAGCCCTGTCATTGTGTCTGGACTTGTCTGTGAAGGATTACCTAGAATAGGCTAATTGAGATGGGAAGACCCGGCCTAAATGTGGGCTGTACTATTCTGTGTGCTTGGGTCCCAAGCTGAATAAAAGGAGAAAGAGAAGAGAGAAGCCAGGCAGACATTGAGAAGTGGAAGGAAGCCAAGCTGCGCTGGGCACAAGCGTTCATCCCCCTCTCCTTCCTGACTGATACCTATGAGCAGCCGCCTCCTGTTCCGGACACTCTGCCCTCTATGCCGTGATACACTGTATCCCCTGGAGCTTTTAGCCAAAATAAACTCTTTCTCAAGTTGACTTTTGTCAAGTGTTTCATCAAAGCCATAAGACAAGCAGCCGGCACACTTGGTGAGCTCCTAGGAACAGCGGGTCTCCCAGCAGCCGGGCATGTAGCCTGGCAGACCAAGTGGTTTCCCTCTCCCCACCCACCCCAAGTCCCCTGTGGCCTGCACTCACACTGCCCTTTCGGACATAGTCAGGGTCTTTGTAGATGTCCCGGGCAAGACCAAAGTCGCAGATCTTCACTATGTCACTTTCTGACAGTAAGATGTTCCGAGCAGCCAGGTCTCTGTGAATGCACTGGGGTGGGGGGGGGGTGGGGGAGGGAGGGAGGTGGGAAGGAATTTAGCTTCAGCTCCCAGGGTGACATCTCAGCCTACAGCTCTGAGGTGTTCTAGGGTATACCCTGCCCTGCCTGCATCTTGCTCATTGGGAGAGAGATTAATGGATGAGGACATGAAATTGAGGACACCTCAATGACTTGGGGACTCAGACATGCTGATTCCATGGCCAGTGCTTAGCCTGGAGACCTGGGGCAGGGAATTCCTTGCTTTGGGCTGAGTTTCCTCCAAAATGGGACAGATCTGAATTGATCCCAAGGCCACTGTGGAGTAAAATTATGACCGGGCATATCTATACCAAGAGATGTGTACCCTTCTCCTCTGAAAAAGGACCTGGTGGGGTTCCGGGGGACCTACCTTGCGGGAAGCCAGGAACTCCATTCCCCGGGCCACCTGGAAACTGTAGCAGACAAGGTCTTCCATGGTCAATGGGCTCAGCCATAGGTCCTCAGCTGCACAGAAGGGGGGGGGGGTGGGGAGCTCAGGAGGCATGTCTACAGTAGTTCACCTTCCATCTCAGCTCCCAAACTAACATTTGTGCACCACCCCGACCGTGGCTCCCCTGGCCAGGCCCTGGAGACACTAGACACTATGCACTGTTTATATCTGTTACCTTCATGCCCTCTGGGGCATTCACTTTGGCACCTGCTATTTGGCTCCATACCTCTCCCTGACCCTGTCTGCAAGGCACTTGCTGTTTATCCTGTGATACGCAAGTTAAATTTCCTTGCCTGCCTCTTGGGTTTCTTCCCCTCATGAAGCAGAGCGCATTACAGTTCTCCCATTGAAGCCCCTGCACCGAGGGTCGCAGGCTAGATTATCCCTGGGTGACAATTGCGAGGCTTTAACTGGGCCAGACAGACACTGGCAAGAGGAAGCCAGGCTCTTACCTTCTTGGACAAGGGGGGCCCTCCGTGCTCCTCCCTTGCCCATCAGGAGCCGCGTGAACAGTGCCCTGTCGCTGCTTCCAGGTCTCCTCCGATCAGCCTTGGCGCCTTCTACCATCGCGCGGAAGCGCCTGCGTTGCTCAGGAGACTTCTCCTGCCAAAGCGAAGTGTAAAGCTGGCCTGCCTCTCATCCCTCGGACTTCCATCCCCAGCCAAGCCTGGTGCCCATCCGCTCTCTAACTGCGCTCCCGCAGCACACTAGTGTGTCCACTTACCGCGTAGGGGCTGAACGCCTCCCGTTTGGCACGCAAGAAGTTGGAGAGGTTGCCATACTTGCAAAATTCCACGATCACCATAAGAGGGCCTATGACACGGCGGAGCAGAAGCCAGGCACTTGGTGATGCCAGCAGCAGGCACTTGGTGATGCCAGCAGCGCAGCAGCACCGCGTCTCTATGGTCCATCCTTTCTCAACCCCGCCAGGCTCCAACGTGGGCCCACCCCAGGACCCGCAGGGCTCCTCCCATCCATAGTGCCAGAGCCCACTGCCGGGTGCTTTCCCCAGGGCATCTCATTTCCATACCATTGGGCTTGGTGCACGCCCCCAGGAGGTTGACCACATTGAGGTGGTTCCCGATGTGAATTAGGATCTTGAGCTCTGACATCAGGGCACGGTGCTCGCTGGCAGTAGCGCCCTCTGGAGGAGACAAAGGGGGGCATAGCACGATGCCAAACGTGCCCTGGTATGTTTCCAAATTTACTCAACCCTCCTTAGCAAAGGCATGCTCAGGGCTGGTGCTGGGAGTACGGGCTGCGCGGAGCCCCTAACACAAGCTGCAGACCCTACAGAGGCAGAGGGTTCAGGCAGAGGCTTGGATCTGATTCCCTGTGCCTTTCTGCAGAGTCGTGGCTGGGACAGAAGCTCTGAATGTTTCCCTTCTTGCTCTTGCATCACCGTCCCACCCAGAGCTCCCCCCCCCCAGCTGCACAACCCCTTCTTCCCATGAGCCCCACACCACACCTTTCAGCATCTTCACGGCCACGGTGTCACAGCTGCTGCCTTTATTGATGCCAAAAGCAGAGGCTTCCACCACCTTCCCGAAAGCCCCATGGCCTAGGACTCTCCCTGTGGAGGCAGGGGACCAGTTCCAGGTGAGCTGTACAGGGGGTGGGATGTGAGGATGGAGAGGGGTGGACAGCAGGGGTGACCTGTCCCAAGAGCTTGGGGCAGGAGGAAAATGAAAGCCTCTCTGACAAACAGGAAGGGAACAGGGAGTGGAGTCTTGGAGAGGGAAAGCTGGAGAACAGGGGAGAGACAGACAGGAAGGCCCCAGCATCCTCTCCAGGCAGGTGGGACAGGTCCACCCTGCTCAGAGCAGCAGGAAATGACCTCGGGGGCCTGGGAACTGGGAGCCCTGGCTGTGGTTCTGGGGACTCAGGCCCAGCTGGAACTGGTCAGGCCAGGTGGGGACCAAGAGGGCCATCCTGGCAGAAGTTCTAAGAATGGAAGGATTTCTGTCACTTCAGCCTGCTTGACCCCGTGGCAGCTGAAGCTGTCTCTGCCAGGCAGTGCATGCTGGGTGGGGCAAGCTGGGTGCTGGCCTCACCGAGGTGTAACCTTTCCCTGGGGAACTCCCACTGGCTGGCGTCATAGGACAGGTATTCACACTGCTCCTCCAAAGGCACCTCCCCGGGGTCCATGATGATGGACAGGTAGCCCGTCTTGATGTCTGCATGGGCAGGCTGGGGGTGGGGGTGGAGACAGCTCATTGATTTGGACATAGCACTGTGGCTTGGATACATTTTGCCTAGGACAAATGGCACTTGCTTGTGAGTTCTCAGTCAAGGAGGGGCGAGGCCAACAGATAACTTCTGCTCCGTTTGGAACCAAGCATGAAAGGGTGGGGAGGATTCCCAGGGCAGAACCTTGAGGGGTGAACCAGGATGGGAATCTTAAGGGCTTGCTGGGATGAGAATGGAATGGGGAAACAGGAAGGCCCGTTAGGTAATGGAGAGAACTTCTCCAGGGGGAAGACCCTCACCCTTTTCATGTTGCAGAAGATGAGGAGGAGGAGGACCCAGAAGAAGACAGCGATGACGCCAGTGCCAATCAGTATCACAATCTCCATGCTGCCTTTATCTTCGGAGCCTGGGCGGTAGACAGTGGGTGGGTGAGAGGGAGGATGTACCTAACAGGAAGTGCCCCTCTTGCTTGGGTACCACTTCACTAAGCGGCCACAGGAGAGTGCCGCTGGATGTGTGAGGTGGGCTGAACAGAGCCAGGCAGGGACGCACCTTCCACTGCCACGCTGGCCGAGGAGTTCACACAGCCCTTAGCATTGCACACACTGCACAGATAATGGCCCGCATCTTCCTCACGCACGCGCTGGATGCTCAGCCTCTGATTCGAGTCTGCCAGGTCGATTCCTGCAAGCCGGAGGATGAAGGTTCCACCTCAGTCAGGTTGGCATGCAGACACCGACCTTGCAGACCTCCGGACCCCGCCCGTCATCCAAGGCCACCTCCCCTACCAGACTCTTTCTCCAGGAGCCTTTCATCTTTGTACCACACAATACTGGGCACATGCGCTCCGGCCACCGGGCATCGCATCTCCAGCGAGTCGCTCACGTTCACCAGGAGGTCAGTCAAGTTCTGCGTGAGCCGAGGAGCTTCCAGAGCTGGGGCAGGGTGGAGAGGGAACTAAATGAAGGCGCAGAAACCAAGAGGGTACCTCGGGATGGTGCAGCGCAGGGCTGAAAGTAGGGATGAGGTAGTGGCAGATGCAAGGGTGAGACGGGCGGCATGGCGCTGAAGGATCAAGGACTGAGCATGCGAAGGACTGAGCACTTCTATGGTTAGTTTGGGCGGTAGGGGTGCTCCGGAAGACCCAGGCTTCTGATTCGACCACCCAGGACTGTGCTGCACGAGGTCGCAAAAGTAAAAGGCTGAGAAACGTGGCCCCGCCCTCTCCGGCTTGCCACGCCCACCTCACCCTGCACGGACAGGTACTTCTTGTGGCAGTGCTTGTCTTGGCTGCGCCTATCCTGCACCTCACACACGTAGTCACCCTCGTGCTCGGGGGCCACTCGGGGGATATTCAAGCTGAGGGTGGCGTGGCGGGCCCCGGGCTCCGCCTCCTCTAGGTTGGCCGCTAGGGGCGTGGCATACAGGTGCACGTTCTTGCAGTCGAGGAGTAGAGGGTTCCCTTGAGCATCGTGTAGCGTGGAGAGATTGAGCCGGTACCAGCGCAGATGCTCGTAGGTGTAGTTGTCCGCTTGGCAGCTGAGGCGCACGGACTGGCCTTCTAAGGGATCCTCGGAAGGCTCTGATTCGATACTGAAGCCGTCCGGGATGGCTGGGGAGGAGAGAGGAAGCCAAGAGACACCGTCTCGGTGTTTGCTCACCTACACCAGCTGTAGTGTGGGTCTCCTTCTTCACCACTGATCTTGGAAAGCTCTCAGTTCTCAATCAAGGGTGTACATCGTGTGTATCCAGGGTTTCACACTCTCTAGAGCCCACTTCCTCTCCTTTTTCTTCCCCTCCCTAATCAAAGGACCCACCACCTCTTGGAAGTCAGCCCCACCCCTGGGGTTAGGCTCTTTCTGCATTCTTACCTTTTTGACTCTTCTAGCTATGCTCCAAGCATACTTCCAGGAGCCCAGGTCCTTAAACGCTTACCGTCAGACCCAATGGAACTCGTTCTCCTTTGTACTGACCACACCCTGACCCTGGCTTTTCCTTGGAATGATTTCATTAGCTTTTGTCACGTCATTCTCTCGATTTCCATCTGCCCTTTCAGGGGACTTCATCCATACTCCTGAACCCAGTAAGTGTCACCTCCTGGAACCCCTTTCTTTCTAGAGGTCACTAACTCATTTGAAAATCTGAATTAAATTATGGGATTTTTTTTCCCAAATGCACACACGAATCACAGGACTCTAAACTGAGAAAGGGTGGGACTTCTCTTTGCTGAGGGTAGTGGGTACCATCCCATCCCATTGCATCAGCACCCAGTCTATAGACTGAGCATCCCTAAGTTTATCTCTTCTACTCTGTCATGGTGGTATGCCATGGGCCGGGTGCTCCCGTGGTCACAGGAAACTCAGGAAGCTCATTCCTGGCACCCAGGCCTGCCTAGATGAAGTGGTAGTCCCTGGGGACAATCTGGGTTACTCACTGGTCACATAGAAGTAGATGAGACGCTCATCCTGGCCCACTTTGTTGAAGACCACACACTTGTACATGGCTGACACATTGGCATCCTGGATCACCAGCTTGCTCACCGTCTATCCAGAACAGAGGCAAAAGGCTCCATTGTCTGCCTAAACCCTCCTCTTCTTCAAAGAGGCTAATGTGCCCACTAGTAATGGGGAAACAGGGTTGGGCTGACAATGGCCAAAGTCTAGAGACAGCCCAGATGAGGAGGCAAGGTCCTTTCGCAGTAGAGAGGTGTCACCTCAGAGAAGCCAAGAAACAGTATATGGACAGCTGACTGGAACAGAGGGACTTATCTTTGCTATGTCTCAGACTGTGGTCATGTTGAGGAGTCAAAAGCCAGTTTGGTGACTGGGCCTCTCTAAGCAAGGGTTAACATTCAGACTGTAATGAATCACATCGGGGCAAGCTTCTTCTAAATTATGGCCTAAGGTCAGTAGCTGGTCATTGTTCAAGGTCTTTGTGATGTGCCCTCGTTAGTCCAAAGGCATAGAACACTTCTTCATGGTCCAGGTTAGCAGAGAAGGCATGTATATATGGATGTGCATAGAGGTATCCCAGGCATCTAGAAAAATTCTGCCCTTAGGGAGTAGGAAGTTTGAAAAGTAGGGGAGGAGAGAGGGCCATAGGCCCTGCCTACCATCCAAAGACCCCCACCCCCACCCCAAGCCGGGCACTTCCTGGCCAGGCCTGGAACAGGAAGAGGCTCTGGAGGTGTGTAGGAAAACAGGAAGTGACTGTAGGAAGTGGGTGCCTTTGTTCAGTCCCCCTCCCCCTCCTGGTCAACAGCTCACCAGCCTTCTATGGAGACCTAGTCAGCCCCCAGCCCCATCCCCTTCCAGCCTTGGGACTTGTGGGCAGCTGGATTCTCCTCCTGGATCTCAGTTTCCTTGTCTGGGAAGGCCTGGTTCACATGCAGGCAGGGAGGCTGGGGCCCAGGCAGGGCAGAAAAATCACCTGGCTGTCAGCTGCAGCTCCCAGAGCTGGGCAGGTCAGGTGGCATCTGAGCCCAAGCAGGAGGGAGCTCACCCAGCCCCCCTCCTCTTTGTCTACTCTCACGGCCACAGCTGGTCTGCAGCTGGGGCGTTCTCTGCAGAGGGTCTGTACCTTATTTTTCCCCTCCACAAACTCGGTCCAGGTGTCCAGGCTCTCGATGGGGTTGACAGCATCCTGGGTGGTCACCTCTCTCCAGTCTCGGCACTGTGGCATGCGATCCCTCTGCTGCCGCCTCCGGCTGCCATGGAGCCCAGAGAGACAAGGACAGATCAGGAATAAGGACAGGGAAGACCTAAACCGGGGGTGAGGGTGCGCACACCTTTGTTATCCTCAGACATTGTCTCACACCGCAGTGGGTAAGAGACAGCCTGGGGCCAAGGGCAGTGAGGGGCTGGAACATGGTTGCAGCCCTGCAATCCTTCCTTCCCACAGACGCTGCTCTGTCCTGCTGTGTGCCTTTCTTCACGGTCCACCTTGCATGTGCTCGCTCGCCCAGTTTCCAGGAGGACCACGAGTCACCACTCAGCCCCACGCACCCCATCCCAGCTGATTCTCCTTCTCTTTCCTCCTAGGCATGCCCAGGGCTTCGGTCTGCCGCTGAGATGGGGCAAGTGGGGCAGGAGGAGATCTCGCCTGCCTGTCTCAAGAGTGGGGTGGGAGCATCCCAGGCCTCTTCATTTGGCACAGAGCATGATTGTAGATTACCAGAAGGGGCAAAGATGGACGTACCAGTGTGAGCTACGGGCCATGCGGTTCACCAGAGTGCCTGAAGAGCTTTGCATCTGTCAGGCTCTCTCAGGCCCACAGGCCCTTCTGAGCTTCCCCACTGATTGCTCTGGAGCCACAGCCCCTGGGCCAGCAGGTGGGGCTAGACTCCTTTCCTGCCCGGTTCCTGGCTTCTGTTCCTTCCCTAGCATGTGACCACAGACTCTTCCACTAAATGGCAAACTTGTCTTGTCATTCTCCTGCTGAATGCCCTTCTCTGGCTCCCTAACGGCCTCAAAGTTCCTGTTCACGTGGCACCCTCCTCCTCTCCTGTTCCTTGTATGTCTCTTCTGTCTCTGCCCAGAATGTCCTTCCAGGTTCCCCTGTCCCCTTTGTTTGCTGTTATTCTGGCTTTGAGCTCACTATGTAGCCAAGGATGACCTCCAATTCCTGATCCTCTTGCCTCCACCTCCCAAGTGTCGGGGTACAGGCATGCGCCACCATACCCACCCAGCTCCTCTTGTCCTTTGGACATTGAGCTGGGTGTAGGGAGCATGGCTCAGCATTTGGGCAGGCTCTGTTGCTTTACAGCTTTGACCTTGGGAAATTTGTCTCCCTTCTCGGGTCCTGTTTCCTCACCTATAAAGGGATGACATGGATGAGCTAAGATTTTGTGTGTAGTAGCAGAGAATGGGGTGTGGTGGGGGAAATACTCACAGGCTGCGCTGGGCAAACGTCTTGCAGGGTGTCCAGGGCCTCCAGTGCCACTGGACACTGAGAGGTTGGGGTACCCCATAGGCCGTGCAGGTGAGGGTCTGGCGGCTGTGGCGGGAGTAGATGCTGGGTGAGGAGGCTTCCTTTTCATGGATGTGGGGAGGCACTGGGGACATAGGCAAACAGCCAGTCAGCTGGGTCTCATCGCCACCCCACACACCCTGGGACTCATCCCTTCTCCCATCCTTCCGGCCTGTACCATTCACCACCAACTCCAGGCTGATGTTTTGCCTCAGCCCAGCTGCAGAGTTCCACAGGGCGAGAGTATAGATGCCGGCACTGGCCTCGGTCACCTCTTTGAGCACCAGAGCATGTGGATTGTGACGCCCAGTCACTGCCTTTCTGTCCTTGTACCTGGCAGAGGAAGGGGAGTCAGAAGCTCTGAGGACCCCAGGCCAGCTCTGGGCTGGCATTTGCTGGCCCTCCAGTGAGAGCGGTTCTCGGTTTCCTGTTGGTCACCAAAATCTTTAATGATCGATCTAAAATACCCGATGGCATCAACAAGAACAGATTTTTGTTTGAAGATGCCATAATGAATCCTATACTTTGTATGCTAATTAAAAATAAATAAACCAAGACAAAACAAAACCCCAAATGCCCAAAGTTCAAGTCCCTTCTGTAAAGTAGCACAGAATTTGCACATAAGCGATGGACGACCCTCTATAAGCTGTAAATCATCTTGAGATGACACCTGACACTCAAGACACCGTGTTACACAAGAGGTTGTGACAGTCACATGCTCAGGGACTATGACAAAAGCAAAAGCTCCGGACTGTCTGTATGCCTGGTACAGACACATTGGAAAAGATAGTTTCCATTCAAGGTTCACCGGTTCTGTGGCTGCAGAATACACACATATGAAGCACCCACACATACTGCTGGAGGTGGGGAGAGAAGGCACATGGCCTGTCTTGATAGGTCAGGCCAGAGCAAGAGGCTTCTCCCGTACCAGACCAAGGAGGGAAGCAGGGGGATGGGGTTGACAGAAGTCCTTGGCCTCAGGAGAGGCAGACAAAAGCTCTGGACTAGGCTGAGTCAACCCATTGTCATAACTTACGTGGCCAGCTCAGCAATGTCACTGACCTTCAGGACCATCATGAGATCTGCAGTGGCACTTCTGAACTCACCCCTAAGTCCTCGGCCATCCCCTCAGCCCCCGGCAACCAGTTTCTGCTTAGGGCAGCTACCCTCCCTTTGTGCTGTCTGTGAGCTTAGCCTAGGGTTGAGGAAGGCAATTTGCCAGTTCATCCCACGAAGTTCCTCCACACCTGCTGGCCTTCAGCCTCCGAGACTGACTACAGTGCCCTCAGTGGGCCCCTCTTCCTTCTCACAGTGCGCACCTTTGAGCGAAGGGACAGTAACAGCTGAGCCCACAGAGTGGCAATTGCCTGGTTCTCTGACACCTCGCTCTGGACGCTTCTGTGAGTTCTCCAGACACGTACCCTTCACAGGGCTTTTGACTTACTGTTACACTAGTTTGGATGCTCTTTCTGTAGGTGACAATTTGCATGGCTCTCTCCTTCCTTTACTGGGGCTGGGGTACTGGCTCTTCAAAGACAGTTGGCATCTGGCTCTGCCTACCCTGTTTTTCCTTCCTTCCTTCCTTCCTTCCTTCCTTCCTTCCTTCCTTCCTTCCTTCCTTCCTTCCTTCCTTCCTT